ATGTACATGTATGACAACAATGACATAGTGAAATGGCTGTTTTAATGCACTAGAGTTCAATGTAAAAATATATATATACAGTATAAATACCTTTTTAAATACTTCTGTTGATCTTCAAACGGCACAGCATCCAAAAGTTCGAGACCGGTGTTTATCCTAAGTAGATAATCACGAATCCAAGCCTTTTTAACCTGTGTTACATAACAGATCAGTTTATCAATATTGAACCATTGACTAAAATGACAAATACAATATTAGTTGCACTTACAACAATTTCATACGTTTCCTGTGATGGTGGCAAGACAGTGTCATCTGAGTGTTCCGAGTCTAACAGTACAAAAATAAGTTAATTACCAACAGAATGCTTACTAGAGCAGGAAACATGAACAAGGGGTGAAAATAATAAGCGTTGCCCTCTATCATAAATATATCCGAAATTAGAAGTGGTCCTGCGGGTCGCAATGTGAAAAGTTGAATCTGATAGTTCGTTAGTAATTGATTTTTTCTATGTACGTATATAGTGTATTTGTCTAACATTTAGGGATCGCAGTAATTGGCGCAAGCTGTTGCGATTGCCCTGCCAGTTTTTGTATTAACGTTAATTGTTTGAATCTGGCAAAGTTAATAAATTAAATATAAAGATTGATGTTCCATAAAAGTAATTTAGTAAAGTCTTTGGTTCTGTGCCAAATGGTTCTGTCCCAAACCTATGATAAAATTACTGCCTGGATTTGGTATCCTATAACTTAATGCTAAGATTCAAAGAAGGTAGTTTTTATATATAGGCTCCTCCTCAGACATTATTATGTGGTTTTTGGTTTTGATTGAAATTTTAAGAAATTTTATGTGCAGTTCTGCGATTTCAAATCCCCTCTTTCACTCTTTGTCCCAAACTATACCTGCAGCAGGCCTTTTTCTTTTCCTGCTGGTTTTCCCAGCTTCGTGGTTCATACGATCTCTGCCAGGCGTGGAACAAACATGCAGACCAAATGTGTGGTGGCCAAGAACTACATTGCTGCAATGGAGAAAATCTAAGATTAGATAGCATGCTTGGAAACAAATAACTCACTGCTACAGGGTACGAAGTGTAATAACCATATTACCGTACATTCAACAACTTACAATACCTGTTTATTAAGGAAAACTTTACAAAAACCTCCTTCTTTACACAACCTCTGCTGGAGCAGAGGAATGTGAAATTCTCCACATTCTCTGCCACACCTAAAGGAAAATAGTTCACTGTGTAATATTGTAAAGATATATACAGCAGGTTTTCAATAACAAGAAATGAAATGCACTTACTCTCAGGTTTCATAAAAGGCAAGGATAATGACAATGTCCCAGTGTCTTTGCAGCAATGATATATTGCAGATTGGTTTTCACACCTCATAAAGTGAAGAGGTGCTATGAAATCTGAAAACAATTAAAAATTTAGCCTCAAGAGGCAGTACAATCTTAGATGGGTTCTTGTAGATGGAATTTCTGAATACAAATAGATTTAAAGCAGTTGCAAAAATGTAACTATAGGCCTTATATAAATAACCTATCTACTATTAGCTGCCCAAAAATTACTGCATCACCAGTAACTTTCTTACCCCTGAATGACAATCATATATATACAACCAGGGGTGGAAAGAATATTTAAGCATGCGAGCAGGAAATTTTAAACAGCTGCAGGAAATTTGTTTGAATGAAAATTTAAAGGAAACCTTAACACCCATGTTCCACTGTGGGCGCAACAACATATGGTTGACAGACATTATTCCTTGAATTTAAAACTATTGTCAGCTACAACACTATATGTGTATGGACATGATTTAGCACAAAAATACTCTGTTGGTCTGCAGGAAATTTTTGTCTCCAGGTTTTGCTCCCAGGAAGAAAATGATTTTTTTCTTGCCCTGTATACAACTAACTGTAGTGTGTGGATAGGCCTTAGAGCACAGTGCAAACTGATAATGTTAAGCCGAACATACTGTACTTTTGTTATACCTTCACATTGATTGTCATTGCCTTCAGTGTGTGACCGACATCTCATGACAGGCACATTATCCTCAGAAAAAACAACAACTTTAATTTCACTGTTCGGAGGTGGAGTATCTGCAGAAAAAATACCATCAACTAGACAGTTTGCTTCTCTAGTTTTAACACACATCCCATACACTGAAATAAAGATGTTACTGCTCCTACAGTGCACTGATCTATTTAGTAATCAATAATCTATTTTAGTAATCAATAATCTATTTTAGTAATCAATGATCTATTTTAGTGATCAATGATCTATTTTAGTAATCAATGATCTATTTTAGTAATCAATGATCTATTTTAGTAATCAATGATCTATTTTAGTAATCAATTATCTATTTTAGTAATCAATTATCTATTTTAGTGATCAATGATCTATTTTAGTAATCAATGATCTATTTTAGTAATCAATTATCTATTTTAGTAATCAATTATCTATTTTAGTAATCAACGATCTATTTTAGTAATCAATGATCTATTTTAGTGATCAATGATCTATTTTAGTAATCAATAATCTATTTTAGTGATCAATGATCTATTTAGTGATCAATTATTTATTTAGTATACAATGAACTACTTTAGTGATCAATGAACCATTCAGTGATCAATGATCTATTTAGTAATCAATTATCTATTTAGTATACAATGAACTACTTTAGTAATCAATGATCCATTCAGTGATCAATGATCTATCTTGGAAACAAAACAGAGGGTTCAATCAAGTCCTACTAGACAGTTGCGATATGTCAATATTTTCGATAAATATCGATATTCCCGACATAAATAATATATGAAGTTATATTGAATTAAATATTGACTATTCTATAAACGTTGTATATTGGGAAAACACATGCAAGTTGATTAAATTATGTTTTCTCACTTGCAAAATTCGATATAGTCAATATTATCGATATTTTTTCCCCATATCGATATATTGATTTTTTTCAATATTGCAACTGCCTAAGTCCTACCTGATGTAAATATTCCAAAAGGACAAACAGCTTTTTTCTTTACAAATAAACAGTTGAGCTTTGTTGAAAACTATAGTGGCAATAAAAAGCAATGTATTTACTAGAGCAATGACTGTATGATACGTAGGTCCTATATCTATAGCATAATGACATATACCTAATCTACACTTGATAAAATGACCTGGAATAAAATATTAAACCTTGCACAGATTAAAGTGATCAATAAGGAGAGACGTGTTTGGTCATTCCAGAAAATATCTGTCCACACTACCCTCACAGAGGAAAGTGGAAGTTTAATCCCATTTTTTACTATTATTAGTAGATATACCCCTCTCTCCTTCAAATGGAAAAAAATTTGAAGCATAAATTATACATATTCATTGTAGGATAAACAAACATACCGTAAATTCAACATTTTTTTGAATGAACTGGCTCTCATCATGTTGCAATCCAGGATGGATGGTAAATTGATATTGGCCAGGATAATGATTCACGTTTGGGCTACATAATTATGTCATATTAATTAAAATACAATTCAATGCAGTATATCCCGTTAAGCCACAGAACTTCTCCATTGACGAGTAAAATCATATGGCATTAAACAAGTAAAAAAACAAGTACTGGGGGCCATTGCAGCTCAATGGGTTAACTAGAGACATTGTCAGATTTTTTGGTTAACCCATTAATTTAAGATGCAGAGCTTGCTCACTGACAAGTAAAATTGTCTGGCGTGAGACAAGTAAAAAAATAAGTAGGGCGCACTGGGACGGCTCAATGGGATATACTGTGGTCTGTGACCTAAATATGCATGCTAAAAACCTAATGACAATATAAGAATGAGAAATCTTGCATCAGAAAATATAGGATAACAAGGCAGGGGGCATTTTGCTGCTAGATAGATGTTCATGCAATATATATCAGCAAAATTTATATATCTGAGCTAAACTTTCTTCACAAGTTGAATTAACTATTTCACCCAAACAGCTTATATGTAACATACCTGGAAAACCCTTCACCTAAAATATTAAGGACAAGCATTTAGACATGTACAGGACAGTGGTGTATGAATCGAGGGGCCTACCGTCGCTTGCAACTAAGGCTGAATGGTCGCAGATAAAACATGTCTATTCTCATGACAATGTTCAATGTTTTCACCGAGAAAGTTCATTTGATGCATGGTTTCGATTTGCTCAACCGATCAGCTTGGACCTGTGATTGGCTAATCAGATTAAAACTTGCACACAAATAGGCAATGTCCCTGATTGAAAGTTTGGAAATTGCGCGGCCAAGATTTCAAAAATTTAATAGTAAATATATATAAAGCATCAAAATTGTGCGGCCGCGCGATATAAAGTTTCCACACTGGTCAATATTCCTCCTCAGTTGATGGGCAAATTTACCAACTTCAGACAAAATAGCCAAAAACCCTCCCTAGTATCATGTAGCGGTTTCCGCAACGGAAATCAATTCTGTCCAAAAAAAAACCGGGAAATATTTACACAAAATAAAGAGCAAATTCAGCGACGGGTTTAACAAGAAACCGACCAAAAACCTACCCGATATACATCGCGTGCGATGACAAGAATGCAATGACATGCAAATGGGGAATTCCAAAAACCCCAAATTGAAAATCGCTTTTTATTTTAACACGACGCATACTATAAATTTCTAAGTACAATCAGAACAATAACCAGTTATCATATTAGGTCACTAAATGTTTTAGTTAAGATTAAAACGATTTTTACCTGACATATTTTGATCTATTTCTTGACCACGTGCAAAATACGGCTGAACGTTCCAACAACGAACACAAGGAAAGACTTTGAGCCTGTGCGATCAAAACAATATTCGAGCGGTTATAGTTCCGCCCAATTTCATGTAAGCGAAATATTCTTCATCAACCGTGACGATGTCACGTACCGGAAAAACGCCCCCAAATTCGGGAGTGTTTACTTCCTGTAAAGGATTTTACGCCGGTAGGGAACAACACCGCGGAAATATATAAACGCTCATAATTTTGAGTTGAATGGAAGTTTTATGGTTTAAAACGTCGGAATATTATGAGTAAAGAGATAGCTTTATAATATACACCATGTTACAAAAATTGGAATTTTCAGAGTGCCTCAAAGACTCTCCATTCTTCAGGTGAAAATGATCCCTCTTGTATTTAGCATGATCTTTCTTGAGAAATGTGTTTTTATTTTACGCACAATAGGTGAACAAAAGTAGTTAAAAGATGTTTAAGAATAGGTCCTGTTCGAATACTAATAGCAGCCTGAAAAGGTGTCTTTCGTTGGAGTTTATGAACATGCATCACTATAACGTAAACAATGTGTATGAATTTGAGATTATATGCAGAAAAATGTTGCAATTAGTCAATTAATTATGTTTTGTTATGAAAAACATGATTAGCAGGATAAAAGCTATTATTAATTAAACTAGAGAAAACAAAGTATTTGATGAAACATGAAATTTGTCAAAGTGCATTTTAAAACAGAGGTATGTTTAGACAATTTGCTCATGCAAGAGAATGACATCTATCAATACCATATGTCACTGACCCTCATATAAACAAATCATCAACACCCTATTAGACTGATGATTTATCAAAGCAAATTACTTTGATTGTTACTCTTGACAACTTTCAGTCATCACTCTATATCTACCCAACATTTCAACCTGAAAAAACATTGGCAAACAGGGCTTGAAATAACAGCTGATCACCAATCAATAATCGGTAAAAAATTGTCTATGATCAGTGGGAAAACAGGCTTTACAACCAGGGAAAGTCATAACTGCCGATCGGTAACTTTAGGAACCTTGTTTCAAGTTCTGGGTGAATCAAATTTTTCTATGCATGTTTTTCAAATGCTGGCTTGTGTGTTGGATGCATCTACACTACCTGAAAAATAAAACAAACTTCAACATCTCAAAGTTCGATAACTTAATTATAATAGTAGCAAGGACCATTGCTACACAGTTTCAGATGTAGTTTGTTGTTTGTCTGCATCATGTACAGAAACTGGCATATATTTCTGGAACATAACCCAGTGTGATTTTCTGTATGAATATAGATTTCAGATTGAACAGAATGAACAAGATATCTTAAAATTGGAATCTGAACTTGAAAAGGTTTGTAATGAAGATTTTTTTGATTTCATAACAGCATAATCTGAAACAGGAAATTCAAACAAAATATGAACAAACAAAGCTGACAAACTTACTGACAATCAAGCAAACTAAAAAAACTGAAATAGAATAAATGGAATGACCTGCAAACAAATATATGTAGACATAATAGAAGTGAAAAGTAACTAATATTTGTACAAAATACTGTTTTAGCTGATCAAAACATGTAATACAGTGGTTGAAGTTGGTAAATCTTATGGTAATGCTGTAAGGTAGGTCTATATGCAAGGCTAGCAATGTTCACATACTGAGTGTGAGCTCTAAAACATGTGCACTAAATATTCATTCATTTCACAGTGGTCTTATCAAAGGTATTGACTCCTTATGTATGTATTTTAATGGGGATGGTGTGGTCACAGAATCCCTGGGAAAATTTGGCAACGTTTTAGAAGAAGCTTTGTCTTATTTTATGGTAATTATTCAGAAAAAATACTTTGTACTGCTATTATATGAGCATGTAGAAAATAAAAGATGAAAAATTATGCTTCTCTTTGTTAAGATACTTATGGATCAAACTCAGTGTTCAATTGCAAATGCCCTTCAGAAATTCCTCAAAGAGTAAGTTCTATACATTTGATGAAACAGGACAATGTTCATGAAATTCTGTTATTTTAACGGGGATTGACATGTTATTTTAATTTTAACTTTGACAGAGAAATTAAAAAAGTGAAAGAAACCAAAAAGATTTTTGACAAAATGGGTTATGACCTAAGCAAGTATGACCATTCACTAATAACAATTAGTTCTGGTTTATGATTTGTGAATCTTTGGAAGATATTTACCTCTCAATTTTTTTCAGTGCATTGGTGAGAAATTCTCAGCTGCCAAAAAGTAGTAAAACTACAGAGACTGAAGAGGCAAGTATCGTCTCAATTAAGTTTAATTATTTATATTAGTTAATTTGTTGACCAATTACTGCTTAATTAATGTTTCATTTTGGGTAGGTGAAAAACATTGTTACAGCAACAAAAGTTGGTTTTGACCATTTATCATTGGATTACACATTTCAAGTACAGCATCTTCATTTCTTTTAATAAACAGAAAATTTAATGTTGTTTTTTATGATCTAATAATGTGCCGGATATCATCAAGTTTTTGTGCATTATGCATACAAAATGGACTTGTTCTTGTTTATGCCTGGTTCACACTGGTCGTAAGAATCGGGGATTCCCATTGTCTGTGGTCATTGGTGTGTAAAATGTTTTGTCTGTCAGAAAAGAATGCAATAGATCACCGATGAATTACAACCAGTGTGAACCAGGCTTTCATAGTCAACCATGATTTGAATAATGTAAGAAAATTATCTTTATTTTCAGATCAATGTTTTGCAATCAAGAAAAAGATTTGAAATTTTAGATGTGGTAAGAGCCTGAGAGTGAACACTTTAATTAATGTCTACTCTCTGGTGAGTCTCAGCTTTTGTTATAACGAGTGCTGCTTCATCTCTTCATTTCTAATTTATTTAGATGTTGGCATATATGCATGCACAGTACACATTCTTCCATCAAGGGTTTAATTTGCTCAAAGAAATTGAACCACAGATGCGATCTCTTGGAAAGCAGGTAGGTGCTCACTGCGAATATGACTCGGTGATCAAGATTTCTGTCTCAGAATTTGAACTCGACATTTTAAAAATCATTTATAAAATAATCAATATCAACTATAATCTCACTCAATGTTGTTAGTTGGAGGACCTTTCTGTATCATTTGTGGCAGAAAAAAAAGAGATGGAAGGCAGGCACCAGCTTGTTCAGGGAAGGGTTAGTTTATTGACAAATTTCAAACAGAGCTCTGAATGCACTTGATGTATAAATGCTTGTTTATTCTTCTCCAAAAAGTGTGAAATGTATCTTTACATGTCATTTAGTGTATTTTCTATGTTTCATTTGTAGGAAGATTCATTGTTTGCAACAATAAATCCTGTCCCATCTTCCAAGTAAGAAAGTCTATGTTTTAATCAGGGGTCATTCTAAGGTGCTCTACAATTTTCTAAAATAGATAGTTGGCTGAGCCCATTGGCAAATCTTTCAAAGTAATCAAAACCAAACATGAAACAAATGTTTTTTTGCAACATTCTTCAAATTTGCGCTAGAATGCAAGTTCATATCTCCAGTGAGGTAAGGAGCGTGAGGTAAGGAGCGTGAAGGAAAGACACAGGGAATGAGGTTGACGTGATTGAGCAATTAATCTATAGACTATAAACTGTATATTATATTAGTGGAGCATTTATACATTGGTAAAACAAAACCGAATTTCACTCTGAAAGCACAGGAATTGGCCATTCCTGACTTCTAAGAATTCAATAGCATTACTCGCTGCTCTTCCTCAGCACTCCTTGTTGAAATAAGCAGTTCTAAATTGTTAATTATTTCCCCACACTATGCCTTTCTAGTGAGGTAGTTCTAGAAGGATATTTATTCAAACGAAGTAAGAATGCTTTCAAAACATGGCAGAGGTAAACAACTTTTGTACCAGTTGTTGAATTATCAGAAATCAGTTGTTAAATTATCAGGAATCAACACATTCAATATGAAAATGTGCGACGCTCTTTTCAGGAGATACTTTACGATGCAAAACAATAAGTTATTTTATCAACACAAATTTAAGGTAATACTTCTCAAATGATTACATAGAAAATGTATTAAAATATGAAATAAAAATTCAGAGTTACCGCGTAGTTGTGTAATTCCAATTTACTTGCGTTTCAAAGGATGGAAAAACGGTTCTTGCAGAAGATTTAAGACTGTGTAAAATACGAGAAGCAGAAGATATAGATAGAAGATTTTGTTTTGAACTCATATTTCCAACCAAGTAAGACTATATTTAAAAGGGAAACAATTACCAGCATCCCACCAGAAATTAGGCCTATCAATTATTTTGCATTTTTCACCTAGACTGGTCATTCTTCAAGCTGATTCAAAAAATTTACAAGACACGTGGGAAAATGCCATGAAGGTGTGCGTAATATGCGAGACAAATAAACAAGAATGATTGTAATACTAGTGTTGATGATGATGGTTATAACGATGATACTGTAATTGTAATGATGGTGATGATGATGGTGGTGGTGATGATGATGGTTTGGTAATGATGGTAGTGACGACGATCAGTGATAATATTATTGATTATTAATTAGGTCAGTATAGATCATGCATTTGGTTTGCCCTATCTGGATATAAACGATGAAGAGGAGTCACAAATCTCTAATAGTACAGTAAGAAAATATTGTGACAATTATCGTTCTGCATGAGCATGTGTTAAGGCATCTTTCTTCTTCATAATAAAATCTCACACATTTATCTTGACGTGTTCTATTTCGTGAAAACTGCTTTCTTTATTCATGTAGTTTATGTCCATTCCCGTCACAAAAAGTAGAAGTTTAGAGTCCCTGGATAAGTTGGCAATGTTAAAGTATGTTCAAACATTTTAATTAACTCATATTCAAAACAATTCGTTTTCTGCTGCTCGTTTATTTATATTGATTTTGTTCAACTACAGTGCAGAGAAAGAAATTAAAGACATCTCTGGCAATGATCAATGTGCAGAGTGTGGGAAACAGGGTACGTCATTGATGCTCGTACCTTTGTCTTGAATGTAACAACGCACGAAACGCAGTCTGAGGGAGGAAACCGAAGCACCTGGAGGAGAGCGAAGCACCTGCAGAAAACCCACGACTTTCGCTAGAGCATTGACTGACTCTTCTCACTCGAGTCGCTAGCGAGAGTCGAACCAACGAACTCAGACATGACTTGCTCTGAGGACTGCGCCACCCATATACCCAAGCCCTGATGACCCATATACCCAAGCCCTAATGACCCATATACCCAAGCCCTGATGACCCATATACCCAAGCCCTGATGACCTATATACCCAAGCCCTGATGACCCATATACCCAAGCCCTGATGACCCATATACCCAAGCCCTAACATACTGTAGTTGTACTACACTGATGGCATCATTGTTTTTTTTTGCAGATCCGAAATGGGCTAGCATTAATTTAGGCTTGGTATTGTGCATAGAGTGTTCTGGTATTCACAGGTATATTATTGTATTTCTGTATCGTTAAATTATTGTAATTATACAGTATATATGGCGCATTATTTCAGTTTTTTGTAAGTATAAATCTATTACTGTTGTCCACATTTGAAGGAGCAAATTACTGTAAGGCAACTTAATTAAATATAGTCATCGCTACACTGCGTCATTTGATTCGGTGAGTACAATCGCCTGAAGTTCGCTCTGAAAGAGACGTGAAACACAGTGTAGTGATGACTATATTGCATTGTATATATTGCTATTTTTTAGTTAATTCGTTTTAGGAGTTTAGGAGTTCATGTTTCAAAAGTTAGGTCACTACATCTTGATGACTGGGAACCCGAATCAATTAAGGTAAACATGTTAAAACAGGATGAACCGTTGATATAGAATACTATTCATGAAAGAAACAGTATTTTGTAAATATTTGGAAGATTTTAGAAGTTGAAACAGTTGTACATCATTTATCCATTTTAGGTAATGAAGGAGCTTGGTAACCAGGCCGTGAATAGAATTTTAGAATCAAGAACAGACGCAGCAGTTCATAAACCTTCTCATGACAGTAAAAGGTGAAACATTTCACATGAACCTCCCAACATTGGAAACTTTTCATTTGGGTTGTAAACCTATCCCGGGTTTCCGACAATAACTAAACCATCATTCTTTTTCAGAGAAATTAAAGAGGAGTGGATTAAAGGAAAATATGTAGAGAAGATATATTTTTGCGGGAGAAAATGTATCGAAAAAATCATTCCACTTGATGAGAACATTCTTCGAGCTCTGAATAAAGTTCCCGGCCACCATGTTCGTGACGTCAAACGACCAACAAAGAAAAAACTGGGACGCAGACGACCAAATTTGACCAGCTCCATTTTTAAAAGATTCAGTAAGAGTGAGAAAAAGAATTGTGAAGCTTTGAAGGAGAAACCAAGAGAGGAGAAGGCTGCTCGCAACTCAGCTACGACAAGTCCCGAGCTCTCGCCGGAGATTAAACGAAGTGTACCGCCTCTTGTGTTGATGTCGCCAACAAAATCTAGGTATTTCAACGAGTACGATTAACATTAGTATAACGCAAATTTATATGTGGATACGAGCAAATGCGCTTTACATCAAGTATTACACTTACCTAATTACATACTTATCTTACTAAAGCCTGATTTCCACTAGGCGGAATTTTGCGCGCGGAGCGGAATTTTTCTTTGTCTTGTGATTTCTCAGGTGGAACTAATTAGAAAAGACAAAGAAAATTTCCGCTGCGCGCGCAAAATTCCGCCTAGTGGAAATCAGGCTTTATCCTAGATTATTTTATCTTTACAACAATGGACCATTTGCATTATAGACTAAATTTTGATCTAGACAAACGTTTCATCACATCTTGAAAGAGCATCACAAAATTAGTAATATTCCAAAGTTTCGTTGCGAAATGTTGTAAATTGCCGATAATATAGCCTTGCGAAATTTGCAATTTTCAGTCATTTTGTATTACAAACGGGAAATTAATGCCCCGATTGGGCTGTCAATTTCCCGTGCGTAATACAAAATGACTGAAAAACGGCAAACTTCGCATGGCTATATTATCCGCATTTTACAATATTTCGCAACGAAACTTTGGAATATTACTAATTTTGTGATGCTCTTTCAAGCTGTGATGAAATTTTTGTCTAGATCAAAATTTAGTCTATAATGCAAATGGTCCATTGTGATATTACTGTCTTAAGTGTTTATCCTAACCCACCCTGTCAACTTTCCCTGTGGGAGGAAACCAGACACCCGGAAAAAACCCACGACTTTCGCCAGAGTGTTGACTGACTCTTTTCACATCAATCCGTAGAATCAATGCATCCAACAATATTGAATGATGTTGAACCAACATATTGGAGTAAATTATGGGATTAAACTATTTTGGAAAAATTAAGCAAATACTTGATTAACCAAACATTAAGGTTCTATGAGATGTATCATGAACAAGGTGTGTGTTGCAGGTCTCCACAAGAATCAAGTGATGAATCAGGAGTGCCTTCCAAGGAAGATGAAAGCGAGGTTGGAACAGCACCATGTCCTCCTTCACCAAGAAAGATCAATGAAAATATTCTCAAAGCTCAACTTGTTGCAATAGACCGGAACTCCATTGGAAGTTGCTATGACAACGTTTTGCACAGAGAGGACGCTGATTCTGATGGGAGTGTCGAAGAAACAGATCTAGTTGATGATTGTCATGACTCTGATGTTGAGCAGTCCGAGGTGACGGTGAAAGAGATCAAAGTCATAGAAGGTTTGGCAGAAGAAGAATCTGTGGAGTGCCGGGCGAGAGAGAAGTTGAAAAATATTCCTGCAAATTTGGTATGTGGACTTCCCATGGTGTCCCAGTTATTGAAAGATGAAAAAAATCAACAGTCGCGCCCAACATAAAATGTAGTTCCAACACTAAACCACTGCAGCTTATCGTGTAATACAACCTACACTGTTTCCCTTTGTTTAAGATTGCACAGGACGAATCAGATACTACTGTAGGCTGACCTTTTATAAAACCAAGCAGATACTTCATTCCCTGGGTAGGACACAATGAACACTTACAATGAACACTTACAGAATCAATAAGGCACACACACATGATGTAAGGTTTAAATAGCAACACTGAAGGTAATCCCTTGCATGTGATAAATCGATATTGAAACATATGTTTTTTATCTTAGTTATTGTACAAAGCAACAGATTGGAAGAACTTACCACTGATGTTACTTGCTTTGACTGCAGGTATTTATACGTTCTAATCATCAATTTCAAACAAATTTATATTGGTGCTATGTATTATGTATCACCTAGATTGTTTCAACTAGTACAAATATCGCAATAAAACTTTTATGATTGCAGGGGCTAAGATAAACTGGCAAAATGACGAGGATGAGTTGAAAACAAGCTTACATCAATCAGTAGAAGCAGTGAGTATGCATGCATGATATTAAAAGGTCAAATAAATCACCTTAGTAACGTTTTGTAACGTGTTATTTATATCCTTAAGGGTTTTCTTGCTGGCACGGAATTTCTTCTACAAAATGGCGCAAAGATCAATCTTCGTGATTCTCGGGGTCGAGCTGCGTTACACCATGCTGCTCTTCTTGGACAAACTGGGTAAGAAACTCTCTTTGTGGTCTTAGGATGCCTGAAGACGGGCTTCTTCCAAACCGTTTTATTTAAACTGGATGACTCCAATATGTTGCTTAGTTTAATTTAAAAGCATAAACTATTTTCCGTTTTCACTTTAAAGGGAGGCGTGTTTGTTGCTGAAGAAAGGTGCCAATCAACATGCTGTTGATGAAAACGGCCAGGTACAACTTCATTTCTTCTAATTAGTTCCAATTAGAATATCTTACATTCAATTAGAAATTATAGTTATATATGTGTTTATTTTCAGGATCCGTTGATGATTGCGTTGTCACAAATGCATGCTGATATAGTCACATTGTAAGTCTACTATAATATATCCGCCATGAAATAGCTTTCAAAGGGTTTGCAGTGTTGAATGAAGAAAATGAGCAGAAGTAACTTCTATGTCTAATTGTTAGTTTTTGCAACAACTTTCTGTGTAGATTAAGGTTATCACGGTTAAATGATGAAATGAAGGAATCCAGTGATAACACGGAGAAACTTGGTAAGTACATCAATAACCTTCAACTACAAAATCAATCCTGGCCCTTTAAGTTACTTTTTAGGCCTTTGAGTTAACTTAGCAGCGCTACACTTAATTAAAACAACAAGCCACAATCCAGTCAATCCTTATTTAGTTATTACTCGTAATTTTGTTGTGATGATTAAGGTGTGGATTAAAAATTAAGACTTCCTAGGATTAGGATTATCTTTGGAATTGTATGTAAATTGAGATCCAACAATGTAAGAAGAGTTATCTCTTTTCTGTCTCCAGGAGATAACACGTTTACTGATGTTGTAAGAGATTTTTCAAACATTGCATCACTAAACCCTGAAAGATTACAAAGAAAGTATGATCCAGACAGACATACAAATGTCTAGAAAGTCATGAACTTGTTCACTTGAACATTGTGAAGCAATAACTAACATGTTAAAACAGGTCATTATATATATGCACAAAGAACTGTACATATTTAGTTTTGTTAGACACATTTCACATTTATATTTTAATATGGTACCAAGTTTGGGTCAGATGAAATAGAGGATTTAATACAAGTTCTCAAGGCAATGGTGGCACTTAATATTTAATGAGTGTTTAGTTGGCATTCTGCACAAACTGTGGCTAAAGCAAATGCTTGTAAGGAAATGTTTGAGCTCATACTAAGACTATGTTCACACAGGACCAGACAAAGTTGAAAACTGTATTCAAATTTGTCAGGTTTCACTTGTCCAACAAGAAGAACTGATCCGAAATCGTGCCAATTTGAGTATGGTTCCAAATTCGTCTAGCCTGTGTGAACAGAGGACCTACAGTAAATGTGTAAATGTATTTTTATAAAGATAAATTTAATATGTAAATACTGTAGGTTTTGATAAAAAAGAAAACTTCTTCAAATTGAAATATGTGTTGTTTTTCGCCAAGTAAATTGGAAAACAAAGCTGAGATGATCAATGCATAGTATCAATATTGTTCTTACATCAATTGAAATTTAATAGGAATATTTATTGAAGGAAGCCTCCATCAAGGTCTGACCATGGGCACAGAACATATAAACACTAACCAAAAATGACAAAGACACAACCCAGTTTTTTTGCAGTATGCTTGACTTTGCCAAGAAAAACTGGCGAACAATATTTATTGATATACCAGTGTTGTTCATACATAAACAAGATTGAAGTTGTCATGTTTCCATTTGAAAACAGCATGGTTCAATGTCTGATAAATACATAAACTTTCACTTAACTTCATGTTGAAACTATTCATTTTCTTTCTTTATTTCTTTTTTCACATCTACTTCTTTTGGTTTAGTAGATTTCCATCTTTCCTCCCAATGTTTCTTCCACTTTTCTCTCATTTCTGGATCCTATCAAAGTCAAATATTTGCCATTCAAATACCATGTTCATTGATTTGTTTAACCTTGTAAGTGGCAATGTATCCTGATGCGCCCTACTTTAGTATTTTACTCTGTCTAACGCCAGACAATTTAATTTTACTCATCAAGTGAAGAGTGCTGCCACTCAGTGGGTTAATTAAAACAAATCAATGCAAAACAAATGCATTGTTTTCCATTGTCAACATAAAATCCTGCAAGGTATTTACTGTATATGATATTTATATTGTTATTAAATGTAAAAAATTACCACTTGCCACCAAGGAGGGCCACATCTACGATGATGTGGAGGAAATTGTGAGTAGAAAGTATGTTGACAGTTGGCATATCCCATTCCTAAACCAATGCCGGTACCAAGAGTTACTGGCCAGGATTTCCCTATGAAATTGAAATAATGCTCGAAAAAATGTAAAAGGTAATTAATTTTGAAAGTGACATAGCCAACCTCACACTTGGAAAATGTCTGACTAGTACAAAGCGTGTGTATATGTGTATTATATATTTTTAATTTCCTGGAATGTATATTCTATATCTTGCCATGTTTGAAATGTTCTAGATTTTGTAAGTAGAGTTGCTCCGATCTATGCATTCATCTGAAGGAAATTGTTCCCAGGGGGGAGCATGCCCTACTTTTCATTGTTTTCACAACCTTAGGAATGTTTCTATCAAAGTGGTGAAGTTTTCACAACCATTGCAGTTTAATTAGTAAACAAGAGACATGAGCAAATAGTGGTTAAACATGCACAATATGATGTTGTAATATTGTCATTAATATATAAATTAGTGCTATTTACTAACTTTTAAAAAATATAAGTGAAAAAACAGCTCCAACAATTGCTCCAGTACCTACAAAAATACGAAAGCCATGTTAAAATTTGATGTATAAAACACAGATAATAAAAAGACTAGTTTTCGACCTATTTTTATCGTAGTGTCAGCCAAACATCGATCCCATTTGCGACCCAATATTTCTTCGCTTCGTGTTTCGGGCGCCATCTTGGAAGAATAAATTCAACAGTACCCCCCTGACTATGAGCATATACACAATTTTTGATATCATACTGGCCAATCAGAATCCGGACTTTTTAGCCAATGAGGAGCCAGACGCTTTGCAAATAAAACAAATTTAATGCTTGGGGCAGGGGGGGGCGGAATATGGACGGTCCAAAGTCCAAGTACATCAAAATGTAACAATTTATAAAGAACGTCACCACTCACCAGCTACAAACTAACAAAAGTGATGAATGATTGAAAATGCCTTTTAAAGCTGGACATTCTGAGATCATTGAGGCCAGTCAAAAAGATGATGAATACAAATCATTCTTTAGAAATTCTATGGGTGAATTCTTTAGAGACGTAACTGGTAGGCCACGTATTTCAATTGCAAAATATATATTTTTGTCATGGTTTTTATGTAGCAAAATCATAGTGCGTTATACTGTATGAGCAGTAAATACTAAATACTCCAAAAAATGTGATATCTGATCTGCTTGTATCTCTCTATAAAAAGGCCAGTGCATGCTTCTACAACTTTAGAAAGATGAAGGTTTCTGCAGATTCCTGCTACTAATGTGCTTTATCTTATATTAATTATATAACTGTTTCAAAAAATAATGACATTTATGGGTGAATCACTAAAAAATAAAACAGTGGTGTGGTTTATCTTGTCCAATACTTAGTATATGATGAAATTATGATCAGACATGTGCATACTCCAGAAATGAAACCCTTGTCAACCCTAGTTACAGGTGAAGAACAAATTCAGTGATTCACTGACTGTGCCATCAAATGGCAACATACCTCATACTGAAAATAACTGCAAGATAAAACGAGATCTACCTTGACTGCTGTCTTTGTAACAACAGAAACACAGTCTTGGATCAAATGGAAAGAAGAAATTGGACTGTTTGCAGATATAATTTACTTTGGCATAACTACATTATCAGGTATTGACTTTTGACCTCAAAATAATATGTTCATCTAATATGTTCAATTCACAATTTATATGGAATGGAATCTCTGGTACTTACCAATATTTACCATAGTATTTACCATGACAGTTGCAACCAAACAAAGCTTAATTACTCAATATCTTTTATTAAGGTTACCAAACACTTGGAGAAGAGTATTGCAGTTTAGTTCAAGTTGACAACACAGGACAGAATATTCCAACAAAATGGGTATTTCAATAGTAGACTGGACTATTTCAATAGTAGATGCAGGAATCCACAAATCATTCTTTGGGGGGAGGGTATGCCAACAAACCCCTGTCTGCCCTCACAGATGGCATTCTAGGCCTAGCAATCCAATGAATTGTACTAACCTGATGGCAGTACAAATATATTCTTTATTTTACATTTTAGCAAAGAACTTTCATGATTCTCACACAAGTTGTCATTCCTTATGTAAGCAAGAAATTTGTAAGACGACTTGAACAAACTTTGCAATGTAGTACACTTGATAGCCAGTCAAAAATCAAGAATACTATTTTAGTTTTCATGCCACTTCTAAAGCAGTTTATAAATGGTACGTAATTAATATTCAGCTGTATGTTGCTCACAGAATTTGTACAATTAAACTAAATATGCTTTTGCTAATTTTATTCTTTAGTCGTCCACAGATTACATTTAATGGCATTTTATTTTTCAAGTGTTCATTATGATATTGCAAAAAGAATGTCAGGAATTCAATATGTAAGAATATTTATTTTCTAAAAATAGCAGATTATGTATTGAAAAAATTTACAATATTGATGTATGTTTTCAAAACCTATATGTGAAGCTTTTATTTAGTCAAAATGTAGAAGAAAGAAAAATGCTTTCTTTATTAGGAATTTCTGTTTTGTATACAGAGTCATACATCTCACAAAAAACCCAGATGTACACATTTGTACCTATTTTTTCAATTTTGTTTCAGGTTCTGGCTCGTGGTGTGGTGAGAAATGAGTATTATAATCCAACATACAGAGTTCTAGGTTGGGTGACATTATTACATCTTACCGTATCTATGGTTCAACTTGTACAACAGTCAATACAAGTGAGTCAACAATTTGACAACCATCCCCTGTTACGGTTTACAAAACATTAATATTATAATTGTCCCTGTACTTGTTAAATAAAGAATATAATAAGTAGTAGTATCAACCAATTCTTTAGGTATTTCCCAAAATCAAAGATATTGTACACAGCACTAGAGAACAAGACCTAAATAGTTCAAAGCATAGTGCCATAACAGAATTCAAATGTACCCTGTGCTTAGAGAAATTACATGACATGACAGCTACAGCGTGTGGTCATCTATTTTGTTGGTACTGTATTAATGAATGGTGCAGAAACAAAGTAAGTATTGTAGATAGGTAGAAAGATGATGCAGCCTACAAGCAGTGAATGCATGGCAATTTGAGGAATGTGGACTGCCCTAAAGTGATGTTTTCTACAACTTGTGTGATTCAGTTTAACATACTTATTATTAATTGTATACTTTGCTGGGTGGAGGGGCCAGCAGGATTTTGACAAAGGATTGTGATAGAGAATAGTGAAATGAATGTGTGCTCTTTATTAAATCATGTACATTAAAGTCCCTATGTACTGAAATACTAGATAATATCCATGTCTTATAACGATATATATATTTTTTTGTTCCTATAGGCAGAATGCCCTCTATGCCGAGAAGATTTACAGACACAACAATTAGTTTATTTACATCATTTCCATCCAACATAAAAAAAATCAATTTTACATGAAGTATGTTATACCTGACAGCAAAGCCTGATTTTCCTTTCTCAGGGGAAATCAGGCCCTGCTCTCAGGGTAAGTATGTTAGGGTAGTCTCCTAACACTCAATGTACAATTGTAAATTTCAATGTTTTAATTTATAATTATTGTGATGGTTTTAATTTTCAAGAGAGTAAAAAGGTAAATCCTACTTTCAATAGCATTTAATTTTAATAGTATGTTAGGACAAAAAGCATATTTTGAGGACAGGAAAATCTCTTGGTATCCTGATGGGCCACACCTATGGTAAAGGTTTATACTGTATATTTGACCTAACTATGATTCCTATACAAAGGTTCCTGTCTAACTGCTGCCAACAGCACGAATCACGCATTTCACAGTATATGCAAAAGCTGCAAAGCCTACAATTACAACTAAGTTAGCAATAGTACTTCCAACAAGGCCTTCATTCTCTTCATGACCACTGGATGTTGTGTTTGGGATTGTTTGTTGAACTTCGTGTTCACCTCTTTCTTTAAGTTTTATTTTGATCTCCTTGCAAATATCAAAAGTCATGTTTATTAATTTATTGTAATAATTATTTTTTGTCACAATTATATCAGATGATTATTATATTTTGTCACAATTATATCACTGAGATCTTACCTCGCATATTTCAGGAAATAATTCACAAAAAATTTCATTTTTTATATTAAATTCGCCACTATTTAATGCTAGTTGCTTTTTCTAAAAAATTACCAGAAATATTTTAAATACATTATTACAAATTTAATTCTGTTCTCAGCATACAAGTGGAATAAATTATACCTGATATTCATGTGTTTCAATACTTCCTAGTGTTGGTGATGTTTCAACCTGCATTAGACAAAGTTCAGTTATTTATAATTAAATGGCAGTTAACTAGAATTGTTGCCAGTTAACACATCCCTGTTTCCAGGTTATTTCCTACTAATTCCCACCAGAGAAAATATGTTGGCAACCTAAATGGACCATTTGCATTATAGACTAAATTTTGGTCTAGACAAAAATTTCATCACAACTTGAAAGAGCATCACAAAATTAGTAATATTCCAAAGTTTCGTTGCGAAATGTTGTAAAATGCAGATAATATAGCCTTGCGAAATTTGCAATATTTTTCAGTCATTTTGTATTACAAACGGGAAATTGATGCCCCAACACCCGATTGGGCTGTCAATTTCCCTTGCATAATACAAAATGACTGAAAAATGGCAAACTTTGCAGGGTATACAGTATTATCTGCATTACAACATTTCGCAACGAAACTTTGGAATATTACTAATTTTGTGATGCTCTTTGAAGCTGTGATGAAATTTTTGTCTAGACTTGTCTAGATCAAAATTTAGTCTATAATGCAAATGGTCCATTTGCATGCCCGATATTTTGTGAATCTTACCATAAAACTAAGTAATCCTGTGAGTATTGTTGAGACAGACCAAGCTGGGTTCCAAGTGTCAGGATGGAAATCACTGATTGACAAACATAACCTGAAGGCAAATACTCTTTTACCGTTGCTTGCATTTGGTTGTGACAGTTTTCCATTATAATGTCACTTTGCCTCTACAGGACAAGCGATTGTTTCAAGTCACATGTATAATTAGTCACTTGTGCACAAAATAGTTGGGTGTGGTTTAACTTGCATCGTGATAGTGCCTAGGAGGGCTAACACAGACTGTAAACTTTGAAGCATTCTTTGAAGCTGGACTGCTACAGTACATGCTTCGCTTGTCTCGCACAGGCAAAGCAACCATAGTGATAAACAGCCTTAAATGTTTCTTATTCCTGTATA